CAAGGCCCAGGAACTCGCCCGCAACATGGGCAAAGCCCTGCAGGAGGAGAAGCAAGTCACACAGGGGCTCATGAAGCGCGTGGAACACAACAAAGCCGAGCTCGAAGCCCTGAAGAAGAGCGAGGCGTCTTACAAGGAGCAGGTGGCAGAGCTGCAGGAGATGAACAGAGATTTGTCCATGTTTATATCGGGACAAGAAAAGTTGCAGCAGATGGAGAAGGCGGGCGAGATCGAGGCTGGTGAAATCGCGGAAGGGAGCGCCAGCGTTCCTGAGAAGAAGGGAAAGCGGAGGGCGAGAAAGTAGAGCCTGCTCAACGGTGTTCATTGAATTCGGCGTTCACAGGAGGGCGGTGGTTTGGCATCTCACGGTGCATGCATTTAACGATACCTACACAGTATTAGAGTGGTCAATTGATAGCAATGAGTTTTCAGGAGCTTCTTTTCTCTCCTCGCTCGATTTGTGATGTTTTCCATGGTTCCGCATCCTGTATCTATTATATCGGGTTGTTCGTCTCCCCCGGACAATGTCTGATTCTCTCAGGCGTAGCTCTCGTCTCGTCAGGATCGCGTCTTTCATCCTTCCAATTAGCAACGGTGGGCTCTATGTATCATGAGCGGCCTAGACTGAATCACGGAATGTACTGGGCGAACATGCTGGTGTCTATGGTTCCTCAGTATAACAGGTACTCACATATGGAGGGTCTTTTCTGTACAATTGCGAGTTGGAATGGAAGGCTTGAATAGCAGAAATGTGGGTGGAAGTTGCCGGTCACCAGGTTTAAGGCTGCTGGACTGAGTTGTATGGGGCGAGATGAATACTTACTTGATGAGTACTGAAGGGTGCGGTTGGAGACGATCAGTCTTGATCATTGAAGACATCATAGCGATGCCAGGGAGACAAAGTTGAACAAAGAGAAATTTTCTTTATCTATCTACAGGAAGCAGTTTATCCTGCCGAATGGGGTAGAATCATGCGATACCCACAGCAAACCCTCTCACATAAACATAGTATGTGGCGATATCCGATTGATATAAGATGCCATGACTTGGGTCCCCAGGTGCGCCTTTTGCTTCTAAACGCCGGTTTTTTTTTTCTCATGTTTTGATGCTTTCATGTACAAGATGGTACAATATCATTTCCAGTGACCAATATTCAGCTGTCATCTCGTTATGACATCGTAGCATCGTGTTCGCGTAACTGACTCCGACTTTGTCATCCCCGGCCCCGTTCCAGAGCTTCGCCGATTTAGACCAGACAAGACGCAGCCACGTCCCAGGCGGATTGCTCCACATCGGCTTGTGTACTGGACATGTTTTTGTAGAAGCTCAAGAAGAGTGAGGCGAGGAACGACCCTGAGACTACAACGAGGGGGAGCACCGGAAGGATACCGTCGAGGACTAGGCCTGGGCCCTCGAGTAATGTGGCTTGAGTCGCGTAGAAAAATACGATGGAGAGAAAGGAATAGCTAATTTGGATAGAGATGGATGTCAGCTTCATATTGTTTGATCGTGTGTAAACACTTACGCATTGGGCATTTTTGACATATGGCGCCACACCATGAAGAGGACAGCGCCTCCAATCAGTGCGAAGCACCAAAGGCTATCCTCTCTAATTAGTACTTTAGATGCAAGGGCCGAAGCAGAGAGGACATACCTCGTGTATGCAACATCGCCCAAGTTGTGCCCGTCTCTTGCAACCGCAACGTATATAGATGTGATGGCTGTTGCTATCCCGCCGATCATTCGCAGCATCGTCAGGACACGGCCGCCACGGCATAGCATGCTGACTCTCGGCCCGAAATTTATGTCAGGCAGCATTCTGGAAAAGAAGAAGGGGGTTCCGTTAGCAATGAGTTTGTTTCGCAGACCATGTACTACTAGAAGCGTACCCAATGATGGTTGATATAACACTTAAGGGTGTCCGCGGCACCGGCGCTGACGCTTGGGGAGCATTTGGGTGCCCAAGCTGCTGATTCTGTGTATCTCGATCGCTCATTTGGATGGATTTGGCCAAGTCGTGGTTAGGTTGAGGGTAGATGTACGTTTGCTTTTGGGGTCGAAGAGCCACGAAGTTGACGATGGTTTGTTTATGCAGGAGACGGCGCTGCGTGTATTCGCCTACACGTCAGATGGCGGGGTGAGGACAGGACGGAGGGGAAAGAGCTCGACATCGAATTCCCTTGAATGACCTACTTTTACCTAACGCTGGTCAAAGGAGGCAGTGTAGATTTAATTGGTTGTGACTGTCCGCTGCCCCGTCTCACATACTCGAAGGATGATTCGTCTCCGTGAACATCTCATTGAGGGGTTAGGCCGCGCCACACTTCCAGGCTCACAACTTCGCCAAAACACTGAACATCAGCCAATTTGCTCGCTAAGACAGCTTCAGCAGATCACTTTGAGATTCTACAAGACATGACTTTAAAGTTCGTTGGTGTGGTTGTCGGACTCACGCCACTTTTCAACGTGTTGGCCGCTGTGTTGAAGGAATTTCGTGGAGGAAGGATTTTAGGTCAACCTGATATTGAGCATAGCGGTCTCGAGCTCAACGGTCTAGAGAAGGGGGATTTGGACCTTTGGTCCTGCACGAGCGATCTGGATCGCGACGACATCGACGAGTTGAAGAAACCAGTGAAAGTGCTGCTAGCGAAGGGATCAATATTGCTTGGGTCGATAGCCCTAGACCTGGCCGCTACACTCCACCGAAGTCAGACAGCCCGCAGTCAGTCTACTTTAGACGCAGGCTTATCGATCGAAGGCGACCATATGTACGGCGAGAACTCGTTGATAGAGAAGACTTTGGGACCAAGCATGACGGAAAAGGTCAGTACCCAACACAAAGCTATCGAAGCCATGGCTAACATCCATCAACATCTAATACTGGCTCAGGTCATCACCCATACCCTCTCGAGCCCGACAACTGGCGTGCTGATTCTTGGGTTGGTCACATATGGAGTCGGGGCGTCAACGATATACCATCATAATCGCCAAGATAGATATCAGGACGCCGTGCTTGCAGGGTCGATTATATTGTGTGTCTGTTTGGGAAGGGTTTCGGGTCTTGATACCCCAAACATCCTCGTGTGTACCCTCCCTTGGACAGTGTTGATTGCTATATCTCTCAGCGATATGGCACATCGATATTGCATCGTTCAGTCAAAGAGCAAGGAGTCCTCCCCTTCTTCAAGCTCATAGTACTCTCCTGGCTTGGCGAAGCCACTCGCAGCCTTCATCGAGAATGTGGCGTTCTGTTGAAGATTGGCTACTTGTTTGGTATCTCTCGTGAGGAGTTTTCAAAGAAAGCATAAAGACCAAAAAGTAGCAATCGGATGGAAATCAAGGGAAACAAGGAGCCCTGAAATTTCCCTGAAATTTCATGTGCAAGAATTTTTCGACGGAGGTTTCGCAAAACATTTAGAGTCAGTCTGCATTTTGAAAAGACGCGCCGTTTCGACCAATACAACGAACCATTCGCTCCACACAACGCACGTGCTATTGTTTGGTCCCTACATAATCAAAGATACTTAGCAAGTTAGTGAGCATCAATTCTGGGGTGTTTACCATTAAGCAGGAGAAAGAGATTCTACTCTGAACTACTACAAGTTTTCTCCCTTGGTGAGTGGCGATCATCAGTTGACCCGGATTACCGATTTCTGCGCACAGGAAACAAAATTGGCGAGATGCTCAAACCAGAAACTGTAGTGAAGACTTCTAGATAATTGGTATGTTGAAGAATATTCGAGCATAGTATACGCGAAAACTTGAGGTCTATGTCTGGCTGCAAATTTCCGGTGCTGGGTTGGAGAAGTGGTTCGGCCGTCTAGGGTACTGATATGAATCAGAAGGCTACCACCTACAAACGTTTGAGCCTTGGCTCTGTTGACTTGTTTTCTATTTTGACTAAAATCAATTCAGCATACAGTACTGCTCTTGAACAACCACAATATAAGGCACACTTAGTTATCAAAAGTCGTAAGCCCCGACAAAGTTTTACGGGCCATCGGCTAGTGAGAAATTGCGCAAGTGTCTGCATCATAGTGAACGACGCAAAAGCTTGCGATTCTAGCGTCCCATGGATTCAGCCTCTGAGCTCAGCGGCATATCTCATCAAGGATGAGCGGTGTCTATGTCACTACCTAGGCTGCCATGGGACGAAGAGTTGAAGGCATTATACAAGGGCCGAGAGTGGTCGTTCGCGAGCGCCTACAGTTCCAACCCATACGCCGAATATTCATGCTTTGAAGACAAATGAGCTACTCGAGGCAGTATACTTAGTGGCGATTATTGTGAATGGCCTCCTTTTGTGATTTTGACACTCCTTTCCCTACCCCACTGACTCCAAAGTCTAATATCACGACCAAAACCCGTTGTTACATGAAGCAAAGTCAAAGTACAATACAATAACCATATTCTACAACAGCAGATAAGAAATATGAAGTCCGAAAAAACTGCAAAAGATTGGTACACGCCCAACCTCGAGCGAGGCTCGAACTTGCGCGTCCCGCGAGGCAACCAGAGAGGGCCCGATCGGGATATTTGCTTTCCCTCAGCATGCTGAGGTGATACCACTAGACCAAGCGCACTTGATCTAGCGGTACCGCCTCATCTGGTGAAAGCAAAGCGAGTTGGAGCGCCTCATGAGGGTATGGACGGGAGATGGAAAAGACATCCGGGTGTGGAGCATGGAGGTGAGGCAGGTAGGTGAACTTGCGCACAGCCTTGGGAAGAAAGGTATGCCAGTTCAATCCAAAACCTTCCTGCCATATAACCCGGTTGTCTATCTACCCAAGGTATATACAGCCCCAAATTGTGTGGATGGACCGGCTACTGAGAGCTCAGAGTCAACCCCCTGATGACCACGTCTTGCTACGGCACCATCAGCATGCCCCATGCCATGGCCGTACAGAAGGTTCGAGACGAAAAGCCCATTGCGCCATGATAAGTTCTGATCGGTGCCCTTCAAAGGGGAGAAAAAGAATTGAGAGGAGAATTGATGGGTATCACAAACGTATCCTGTCCTCCAACCACTCCGCAATGGCATCCTCCCCACGTTCACCAAGCTCAAGCCCCTCGTTCGCACCAACCTCGACGACAGTCACCCGCCTCTCAGCCTCGGCTTCCACGTCAAAGTCCTCGTCCCACTGCAGCCTCGCCTTGAACTCCAGCTTCTCCAAGCTCCGCCTCATCAACCCCGCCAGCTCCGTAGCCTGGGCTTCAAACGTGTGCCCTGCCACCTTCCGTCTCCTCGCCGTCTTAGAAGCGAGTTCTCCAGCCATGGAAGATGCCAAGCTGCTTTTCCTCGTCGTCGTCTTACGCCTCGTCACAGGTTCAGTCGGGGTATCATGGAGTAACAAAGCATGAGGCAGCTTGAGCGTCGACTTTCTCGGCGGGAACACAAGCGCACTCCGCCTCGGCGCTGCCATCATCAACCCTTCGGTAAGGCCAAGGATATCAGCCGGCTTCACGTCCGAGTTGACAGAGGAAAGCCGTTCCAATAACGACGACACGGCCTCTGCCCGTAGGAAGCTCGACGGCGCGTTCATGCCGGGCGTCTGGAAGAGGAGACTAGGGCTCACAAACGGGTCGAACAGGTCTACCGGTGAGCGAAACAGGTTCTCCATCTTCATCTGCAGCATATGCAGCGCCGACCCTTCCTCAGGCCGTGGCGGGAGTTTCTTGCTGCGCGCGGTGGCGGGCCTGTTGATCTTGTGGTCCGGGAGAAACATGGACCAGTTGTAGATGCCGTTCCAGGCGATCAGTCCACGGACGGCCATGCGGGCATGGTGATGGGACTCAGTCAGGGCTAGAGAGGTGGCCATGCTGGCGCCGGCGTGGGAGCTGTATACGTATATGTCGCGGCGGGAGTTGGTGCCGGAGGGTAGGAGGTTTTCTGTGATCCAGGTGTAGCCGGCGAGGACGTCGTGTAAGGGAGTGGGCCATGTGAGAGGCGTGGTGAAGTTGAAGTCGGGTTCTGGGTCGTGTTCGGCTTCCGGTGGGGTGGAGACCGGAGACTCGGATCGGGACGGGGACCATCGGTAGTTGATGACGGCCGTTGGGTACGGCATGAGGAAGTGGGGGATGGGGGTCAGGTATCCCGGGGTTGGTGAGAAGGGCGGGATGTACACCATCAAAGGAGTTGCGGCGGGATGACGGTTCACATTGTGAAGACTGATATTTGCGTTAAACAGAAGTCATGGCCTGGTGGGATGGAGTAAGATATACTCTACTGTGATGGCCCCTGAGGAGCGACAAGGCACATCGACGGACTCGATGTCAGGCCTGTCAAGATGGAAACATCTTCGTTGAAAGACATGAGTTGGGCGCAGACGAGACGACAGCCAAGGTGCCGGCCATCTTCTCATCGTCTATGAATATGAGACAATAGCAGGACGAGCTACTGAAATACTCATGTTCAGTTGGTCGCTCACTCATTCACTCACTCATACACTCATACTGATGTGAGTACCTTGGATGTAAGTGTATGATTTTGAGTGAGTTAGTTATCTGAGTAAACAACCAACTGCAATTCCCCAGACGCGTTTTTTTCTCACTAAGTTGTAAAGGGACCACCCTCGGACCAACCAGCGGCCATTCCGTCTCCTCCACACCACCATCATCTCCCATTTCTCCAGCCTTCGTGTTTGCACCGCCGCAAACTGTCCCCCACACGTCACCTCTGCTAAGCTTCGAGTTCTTAGTCAAGGGTCCCCTTCGACTCCCACTTTGTTGCAGTAGCGTCTACGTCGTGCTACTGTGTCCTGGCACCACCTAAGAATTTGACCCCAAGCGCCGGAGCAACCACCGCTGAAATGGAGCCAAGGGATCGCTGTTTCGGGAGAGATCATGAGCTCTGTCCTACTGCAGGCATGGGTGACCTGATCTGTCTGATGATTGACACCAATCTGTTGGCGACATGCCACCCGGGGGGCATATTGCATGCCAAGCGAAGAAAGATATATATAAGTTCGAATGCCAAGGACGAATGGTGCAAACGGTCACGGCGTAACTGGCGGCCAAATATTTCTTCAAAGACAGAAGATCGCCGAATCTCGCGAGGGAAGCACACACTCGAGAATCTGAGATGGTCAGACAGAGATCATCCGGCCGTTTACAATCTAAACTAGGCCACGCAACAAAACGCCCGTCCGTTGCGTTCCTCGCTACGTATTGGAGCACATTTTTTGACATGTCTCAGTTATCTGATCAGTAGACGCGAAGAGGAAGAAGAACGAGAGGAAAAGCAAGGCGCGAGTGCACACCCTCTTCGGCATCCCCCAAACAGACGTCATCGCGAAGTGCCTTCATCCCCCTCCGTCTGGGGCACCCCGGCTAGCACGGATACCGGTAGTACTTTCAGGAGTCTAGACTCTCGACTCTATGGATCCTCAACCTCGATGAGAAAAAGGAGATTTCGAGAATTCCCCTCTTCTTCAACTTGGTTATTAACTACTGCCAAGAATTGTCAAGATCATCGTTCACAAGACTCTAGCGTCGTGTTCTTGAGAAATCTTACCCAGGTAGCTTGCAGCAGCCGGGAATGCCTTCACCTTCGGCGGATCCACCACACCGCACCCGCTCATCTGCCCCGCGCGGCTCGCCGCTCGATCCAACCTCGACGCCGCCATGAACGACGCCGACTTGGGCGATAACATTGACGAGCGCATCGGCCAGCTCGAGCAGTCAAAGAACCCCCGCAGCAGCGGAAAGCGCTTTGCCAACGATGTCGCACATCTCGATCCGAGCCGGTGGTGGTTCGCCTCCTCCGCATTTCCCATGATCGCCGGCACCCTCGGCCCCGTTGCCTCGGCGTTCAGTATTTGTGCCCTCGTCCGGCCTTGGCGACAGCACTACCCGCCCGGTACCGACATCACCACCGCCGCTTTTGAGCCGGATCCGAAATGGTTAGACCCCCGTCTCATCCAGACATTCGTGTTGTTCACGATTCCTCACACTCCTCATGTGTGAGCCATCCGTCAACACTGACACGAGGCTAACGATGTTTGCAGGCTCATCATCGTCAACGCCATCCAGCTGGCGATAGCAATCATCTCAAACGTCTTCCTCCTCCTCAACATGGCCCGCCGCGTTCGCTTCTCCCTGGCCCAACCCATCACCATCGTGGGCTGGTATATGTCCGCCATCTGCCTTGTCGCTCTCAACGCCACCGCCGCGGGGCCTCTCGTCATCGAGCCCGCCGAGGAGTACATCTTCTCACAGGCCTTCTACTACGGCATGTTCGCCGCCATCCTCTACTTCCTCACAGCCTCCCTCATGGTTGTCACCGTCTACGGCGCCGCCACCAGTCACTACGCAAAGGACTTCCAGCTCACCACCGCCCAGCGCACCCTCATGCTCCAGACCATCCTCTTCCTCTGCTACCTGCTCGTCGGCGCCCTGGTCTTCTCTACCATTGAGAGCTGGTCCTACCTCGACGCCGTCTACTGGGCCCAGGTCACCCTCTTCACCGTCGGTTTCGGCGACTTTGCTGCCGCATCCCCCCTCGGCCGCGCCCTCCTCATCCCCTACGCCCTTGTCGGCGTCATTTCCCTGGGTCTCGTCATCGGCTCCATCCGGAGCCTCGTCCTCGAGCGCGGCCGCCGCAGGCTCGATGCCCGCATGGTCGAGAAGAAGCGCCGCCAGCTCATCCGCACAATGACGCGCAAGGGCAAAGACGAGATCCTGAAGCCCATCCACCCAGAAACCAACGACACCTCCGCCTCGGCCGCCTCGTCTCCCTCTCTACCCGGCACGGAGCTCGCGCGCCGCGAGGAAGAATTCAACCTCATGCGCAAGATCCAGCACCAAGCCTCGACCCGCCGCCGCTGGATGGCCATGTCCGTCTCCTTCTCCTCCTGGCTCGTCCTCTGGCTCGTCGGCGCAAAAGTCTTTCAGGAGTGCGAGCGCCCTTACCAGAACTGGTCCTATTTCGAGGGCTTCTATTTTGCCTTTGTCACTCTCACGACGATCGGTTACGGCGACCGCACCCCCGTCTCCAACTCAGGTAAAGCTTTCTTCGTCTTCTGGTCCCTCCTCGCCCTGCCCACCATGACGGTCATGATCTCCAACGCCGGCGACACCGTCGTCAAGGCCGTCCGCGACGCTACCCTCGAGCTCGGCAACATCACCATCCTCCCCGGCGAACGCGGCTTCCGTAAGGATCTAATGTCCGTCCTCCACCGCCTCACCTGCGGCTTCCTCTTCCACCCCACCGACGAGGACTCCGATGAAGACTCGGATGGCGAAGACGACGCGCTCCCGCCGGGCTTCCTCTCCAACGCCCGCCGCATACGTCGGGAAGAAAACGACGACGACGATAACGACGAAGAAAGCGACGAGACAGAAGCCTACTCCACCGTCCTAGACCGCGAAACCTCCCGCGCCCCTCCACCATTCTCGCCAGAACCAAAAGACTCCCAAGCCCGCCCATCACCCCGTGACCGCCAAACCACCACTACAAACAACAACACCACCACGACCCGCCGCCGCCGCCCCTTCTCCCGCGTCCGAGACCCCACCTCTGCCCTCCCAGCCTCCCGCGCAGACTACCACTTTCTCCTCATCTCCGAAATCGCCGCCGTCCGCCGACACGCCAAAGAGAAGCCCGCGCGGCGATATACATTTGCCGAGTGGGCGTGGTACCTCAAACTCATAGGCGAAGACGAATCCAGCTCCGCCACGCACCGCAAGGCGCGCCCGCACATCCACTCCAAGAAGAAGGCGAAAAAGGCAGCCAAGAAACGACGGCGGAACGGGATTGTCGATGAGGAAAACGCAGAGCACATGGAGGCGGAGTGCCCCGACGAGGATAAGTGGTCCTGGGTCGGCTCGCAGTCGCCGCTGATGGGCAGCCAGGAGGAGTGCGAGTGGATCCTGGAGAAGCTTACCGAGAAGCTGCGAGACGAGCTTGACGTTGTCCGCGGCGAGGAGCTCGAGAGGAAGAGTACGGTGGATCGGGAGCGGGATCTGGCTGATGAGAGAAAGGGGAGGGATGAGGTTGATGAGTTGTTGAGATCGTGATACCCCCTTTCTGAATTGTCATTTGTATTGCGATATTCACCACGTATGTAATCTTGAGACACACTTTGGCCGGTTCAGACATTTTATCACACTTAGTGCTCATACATGATAGGATAGCTACGTTTTCATGATCTACATAACATACAACATACATACATAAAAGAGGTAGCATAATTTCAAAACCTTGAGCATCATCCACATCAGATTCATGTCAAGCAAAAGCAACTTAATCCACAAAACCACGGGTCAAACAGGCCAGACACACAAAGAATAACCTTGATATCTCATAGCGAGAAGGGGGGGTATCAGTATCATTAAGTTTTATCCATCCCCACGTGAGGGTGTAGAAGCCTCCAGCCGTGGGAAAGGTTATCTGGTATGCCAGTAGTCCTAGGGCATTGCCTTTCTCAAGAATACAAATATACATACACTACCGCTACACATATCCGAACATGCAGCAAAAAACATGCTCATATCAAAACGCTTTCTCCAAACGCTTTTGAAAGGAACATCCAACAAACCCCCTCCTCTGTCTGTCCAGAAGGTATTCTTCTCCACTTTCATCTTGTTAACGATATTGTTCTCCTATTCAAGAAGAAAAAGACGCTTTACCATCTCATTCCACTTCCCCCAGCGCCAGAAAGCAAATCCACCACGGTCCTAACCATGCCAACCCCCAGCACCAGGGTCTGCACGGCAACAGCCACAACGACTCGCTTCACGAGATCTAAAAGACTCACGGCTAGTCATCTACCGCCCAGCAGAAGCCTCCGGTTGCGCTTCATAGCCTGATTCAGCCCCTTCTCGAGCTTCTCCGTCTCCTTGCGCGCAATACCCAGCGCTGACTCGGCGTCCTCGACACTCATGAGCGACATGGCATTGAGTGGTGTGCCAGGCAACTTAGGGTGCACAGCCCCAGTTCTCTGCTGGGCGTCCACCTGTGCGGCGGCGGCCGCCATGGTGGAAGGGGAGGCGTCGGTGACGAAGCCCTCGCTACCCTGCTGGTGCTGTGGCGAGTCCAGACCGCCAAACGGTGTCTCGTCTTCGGGAATGTCCTTGCCTGAGCCACCGCTCTCGGCGGAGTAGATGCCTGCGCCCGCTGCTGCGTCGTGTCCATAAATGTACGGGGCGAGAGAGTTTAGGCTGGCGGCGGCTGTTTCTCGTGCAGATAAGGCGTCCTTGGCACCAGGCGCAGATTTCCAGCTGCCCGGGAACAGGTTGGTGTTACCCAAGTTGAGTCGCGGGAGAACAAACTGGTTGATGTAGCTGATGGCCTCTTCACGCTGAATCTTATTAACAGGGTCATCGGAGAACATCTTTTGTGCGTTGGGCGAGGGTGGAAAGTAGGATGGGGGCCCGTTGGGTACCGCTCTGCCTTTGATCAGGGAGAAGCCACCCGGACGGGCCTGATGACGAGGCGCAACAAAGCTGTCGGGCTGGTCACTACCAACTGCTACAGACTTCTGAAGCGCAAGATATCTGCCTTCTTCCTCTTCGGTGAGATTTCTCAGGCAATCCCCGTTGGGCGTAATGAGTACACGCTGACCTTCCATGATCTTGCGCACCGGCTGACCAGTAAGTAGGATAGCATGGTCTGCCTCGGACACCATATTCTTGGTCGTAGCCGTAGGAGGCGGGTTGTTGCTCAGGGTCGCAGCGGAAGGCCTGTCAAAGCGAGAGTGAGCGTCGAGGAAAGGCTTGAGGAGGGCAAGTAGTTCCGCGGTGGGAACCTCGCCCGCTTCATGCAGGGCATGGTAGACAACTTCAGGAAAGGTATTCGGGTTGTCGGCAATATCCTGAGACTCCTCTGGCACAGCAACAGCTGTGGGTACAGGAGGCGGTGGTGTTGGCGTTGAAGGTGTTCCTTCTTTACTCTTGCCCTTCTCCTCCGCTGCCTTGGCCATCTTGGCGGCTTGCTTAGCAGCCTTGCCCTTGGGAGGAGGTAGATCCACCACCGTTCTCTCGACGATAGGTTTGGGAGGCGGAGTTGGCTCCTTGGGAGGAGGGGGCGGGGTGGCGACACGCTCGACGGGCTTCTTGACTGGTGTGGGGGCCGATGTGACCGGCTTTTCCTTCTTCTGCTTCTTCTTGCGTCCGAGGATGGGAGCCTGCTCTTCGGTTTCCACGACTTTGGGCGCAACAGTAATGGAAGCGGACTGCTCCTTGTGCGCCTCCTTTCGCTGCTTGCGCTGCTGGCTCTTTGTTGTGTTGCGGACAGGTGCAGTTCCCACTCTGGTAGGGGGTGGTGAGCTGGTACGAGAAGCAGACACAGATGCGGAGACGATAGAGGCGCTATCGCTAATGATTTCGCTAGCCGGTGTTCCAGGACGTCCAGAGGCGGAAGAAACAGCCCTTGCCGCCGCAGAAAATGCGGCACCTGATGGTAGAGCTGGCGGCACTTCGGCTTTGGGTGTCGGTACAACTCGCAAAGTCTTGGGCGCTGCTCTCGCGATAGGTGATGCTACACTGGCAGTCGTTGGTGTTGGCAAGGCTGGGAAGGCCGAGACGTCAGATTGCTCCGTGGTGGTGGTCTCTGGTTGCTTTGGCTGAGCTGCACTGGTAGCGGCGGCAATGTTCAAGATACCCGGTACGGGCTTCTCCGTGGCCTTTGTAGTTTTGGGCGCTTCAACAGCCAGCACGGGGGATGGACCTGAAGCCGGCGTCGCAGCCTCTGCCGGTTGAGGCTTCTTGATGCTCGCTGGGGCGATCTTTGGAGTTGCAGCTGCTGACTTCGCTGGGGTCGCAGGCCGTGGGACGTTTCCAAGTGCTGGGAAATCCTCTTCCTGCAACTGCAATACAGACTTCCCCTTGGAGGGAGATGCTTGAGAGGCAATGTCCTTTGATAGCCCACTCTCAACAGCCAAGGCTTTGATGTTCTTCTTGGCTTCTGTCCCACCGGCTTTCTTGCGAGAAGCCTGATCTGGTGTGCCAGTCCGCACGATATTAGCCATAGTAGGGACTGCTGGCTTGGGAGCCGAGGGCGTCAGTGGTGTGACTGGTATTACGGGGATTGGTGCTTGTCGTGGAGCCGGCGATGCGGTTCTTTGTGGAGGGCCGAGACCAGGTGGAGGGGTCGGAGCTGCTGGTCGTGATAGTCCGCCCAGGGTACCGACATAGCTCGGCAAGGGGTCGTCAGAGACTAATTTGTCTACCGATAGAGTGGCCTCATCGTCGAGCGAAAAGAGATCGTCATCTAGGGAACCAGTTAGCCAAGGGGTTCCCTAGAAGTGGTGTTTTCCTTAAAGACAAGTAAGGAAAAGAAGAGACAATAAAGCATGGTAGCAGCACGAGAGACAACAGTTTATATACATGGACAAATGTTTACAGGAACAAGACAAGTCACGGCTGCCATCATCGTCTTCCATGATGATTTGCGAGGACAAACGAGCGGTAAGTATGAGCAACGTGCTATATTGGTCCTTGTGCCACCCCCATCCTCATAACGGGAGGATGGTCTGCGAGTTAACGTACATTGAGGCGACTGGAAGACGATGATGGCTTGCCTGACTGACGTGACCCCATTAACCATGACGACGTGCGGTCCCAAATGAAAAAAGAGGTATAATGCCGAGACGAAGTGTAGGTGTCGGTCCTTGCTTGCCCAGAAGAAAACGTGAAGCGACGCCAAATGCAACCCTTTGCCACTCTCCCCTGAGCAGCCCTGATGTTTTCCGCAATGCTCGCTGAATCAATGCGCGTGTAATGTGCGGTGCGCTCTCGGTCCCTTTGAAGAGCGGTCGTCCGCCTGTGATATGCCGCGACGCCCTCCCCCTCATGATACATGAAGTGTAAAACAAAACCCGTAAACGACCAACACCGACACCTCATCTATCGCGTTGTCTCTCGAGGCTACCAGCCTGCGCCTGGGAAACGCGTATTGTACATCATGTTCGGGTTGTACCCACCTTGGCTCTGTCCACCGAACAGTCCCTGTCCGACTCCGGCATTGCTCTGCGACTGGTGTTGCATTCTCGCTTGCAGGATACTCGGGTCCGCAAGATCAACTAGACCACCTCCTCCAGAGGAGGAAGTGTTAGCATGTCTGTGCTTCTTCCCCTTCTTCTTCTGCTTGGGACCGAAGTCTTGGAATGCTCCAGGCTGGTTACCGTAGAGCGACGCCAGGAGGCCCGAAGCAGGAGCTGGGGTGGAGGAGGTAGAGGATGGGTACTGATTAGAGAAAGAAGATAACATGTACTCACGCTTACCAGCATCATGACCCTGTCCATTGGTTCCCCGACCCCGAATCAACGTCTGGAGAAGCTCGGCGGAATCCTTGGAAGTCGCACCGAAGGCGCCACCGAACTGGCCCTGTCCAAACATGTTTGGCGGAGTTCCTGTCGACTTGAGACCTGGAGGAGGTCCGGGCATGGAGGATGCATAATACTGGCTGCCTGGCTGCGAGTGGAAAGCGGAAGGCATCATGGCCGTCTGCTGGGCCATGATTCTTGGGTTGGCGGCAACCTTGACTGAAGCTGAAGTGCCGGCGGTGTCATTAGCAAAGCTGAACCTAGATCCTTGTCTGTTGTGGCCGCCACCTTGTTGCTGAACCGCAGAAGGCTGCGCAGTTGGGATCCCAGGAGGCAAGTGATCGCCGAAGCCGCTCTGAGATCGAACGAAGAGCTGTTGTTGAGGCGTCATGGATCGGCTGCCACCAACAGAACTAGCAGAGACGGAAGCTTGACCAAATCCAGAGCCAAGTGCGGGACCGAAAGGGCCGTCGTTGTTGTTGCGCTGGATGGGAGGCTGAGTGCCAGGTCTACGCTGCTCGAAGACGACGTCGCGCGCAACATCTCGGTCTTCGGGCTCGCCACCGAGCGCCAGACTGCCCCCAGTCTCCGGCTCGCCTTCCGAGGCCTCTTGAGGTTCGGATTGTTGCTCCTGGTCCACGCCGAGGCGCGACTCCTCTTCTTCGCGCATGGCTCTTCTCTTCTCGCCTCCGCGGGTGTCGAACATGGGAGGGTAAATGGTCTCGATCTGGTTCGTATCCGGCGCATTGTATGAGAAAGGGCAGCCCTGCATAGCCTTGAGCAGCTGTCTAAGCAGATTCTCTGGAAGACTGTTGGACTTTCGGTTGTCAGCAGGAGCAGTCGGCTTCGGGGCCTTGGTCTCGGTCGGAGGTGCGGGGGTTTCCTTTCTCGAGGGGGTCTCGTCGATGGCCTCGGGTACTGCCTCGGTGGTGACGGGGAGGGCTGTCGAGATGGCAGGGCTTGAAGCGGCGCCACTAGTAGCGTGGCTTCCCCTGCGGCTGCGCTGAGGATTTCTTGCCCAGTTGGCAGAGGCAGGCAGGGCTGGTCCGTCGCCGCCATTCTCGGAGCCGTCCTTGCTTGACGATCGTGCCATGGGTTGAGAAGCGGGAGCCGCAGGCGGTGCGGTATTCTGTTGTCGAGAAGCGGTGCGAGACGGTCCGCCACCGCTGCTCGAGGAACCACCCCCAGGGAGGGGCCGCTGAGAGCTTATGCTGTTCATCGAGGATAGATCCTGTCTAGTGTAGCTGTCCTCCTCGTCACCCAGCTCATGCAAGAACATGCACTGCCTGTTGGTGCACTGCTCATGCCGCAGCCAGGCCGAGCAGTACTTGGTGGTACCGAGCTGGGCTCTGAGAACGCGGTCGCCATTCTGAGAACCGTTGACAGCTTGGATGCAACGTTGGGCGTCTTCCTTCTTCTCGAAAGTCACATAAATTCCGAGAGATTGGTGTTGGCCGTCCTGGCTCTTCCGACTGCTAATCGAGATTTTCAGGATGTTGCCGTATTGACCGAAGAATTCGGGCTTGCGAAGTGTCTTGAGTAGTTCGTCCTCTCGCACTGTAGGTGTCAAACCGGTCACGTAAACCAGGTTCTTCTGAACGACCCGGACGCCGATGAGGTTTTTGCGGTTTTCCTTCTCAACCTCGCGCTTCTGAACCTCCTTCTGCTTTTGTTCCACAGCTCGCTTCTTCTGGTTCTTCTGGATGTTTGCTCGGAACTCGGCGACCCTAGTGTTTGTCAGTGTGGCGTCGACCAAGGTGGCAGGAGGGGTACACACTCTTCCGTGGTGACAACCTTCCACTGGATTGTCTTCTCGTCGTAAGGTCTTCGGCATGCAGGACACAGGCCGTTCATGTTGTTCTTGATATTGTTGAAGCAGAACTGGCACACCTATGAAACTGTTAGAGGTCGAGGTTCTTCATCCGAGGCAGGAACGATGGAACATGGAAGTCGCTGTCGCCGTACCTGGTAGCCGCAAGGGCATGGTCGGAAATTCCGATCTGAGAGGTCGAACTCCTCGATACATAACGGGCTGTAGTGGAGAGAGTCAGTTCACGATGCCCAACACCTCAAGGTCTCACGCATGGGTTGCACGCAAGCAAGATGCGCGCGAGGTCAGAAATAAGGTATCATACCATGTATCATCCTCCTCGTCGATGAATGTGTCTTGGGGTGCCATGGCGACGATCTGTGGCGGTAGGTATATTTCGTGGGGTTGCGGGAAGGTTGGGTTTCGATTTGTGAGTGGAGGTGGTTAGGAGAGGGAAGTTGTTCAATACCAGACAGAGGTGAAGCCAAAGCCTTTCTCGGATGGGTCGTCTGCTGCACTAGAGCGTGGTGCCTTAGGTAAGAGGGACCCACTGGTTGCCGTCACGTGCTGGTTACTAATGACAAGCCAATCAAGGGACCGAGAATATTGCAAGTCAGCAGAATTTAGATTCACCCCTCCCAGTCGCTTGGGCAATCGTGAAGGAAAGAACGCTCTTGAGTAACGGCAGGTGCGGTTTCTTGGATTCTTGAAAGGAAATCATAGATTTCAGGAAGGTGCTCAATATTGGCAATTGTATTTTACCCAAAACTTTGAGTCCTATTGAATTCGCTGCAAAGTTTTAAATCGTCAAGACGCAGAGGTTGTGAGCACCTTCGTTCAGCCAGTTTGCCGGCACCTTCAGGTCCGCATCGAGTGTCAAAAGTACCACCCTGGGGGTGGACCTACCGCCGGTTAGCTTCTTTCAATCCCCAAGCATCGCGAATGCACAGCATCATCAATCAACTTCCCCAGAGGCAACAAGCCCCCCAGCACTGCAACAATCGCAACAATGGCAACGAAGCTCTATCGTAGTAGAGCTCTGGCGGGCTTGCGCAACTGCCGCCCCAGCGAGATTCGATCTTTCTCAACCTCAATCCCTCAATTGGCCGGCTTCCCGACCGGCTATCCCAAGGATGCCGAAAACCTGAGGAAGTCTCCTCGCGAGCACATTGGCACCCTCAAGGCTCCTCTCATCAACCCTGCCGACAAGTACGGCTCCAAGGCCGATAACCTCCACAAATACGGCTCTTGGATCATGGGCTGCTTGCCCAAGTACGTCCAGCAGATCTCCGTCTGGAAGGACGAGCTCACCATCTACGTCTCTCCCTCGGGAATCATTCCCGTCTTCACCTTCCTCAAGTGTAAGTGTCAATTGATCCACGATATAGCGTCACTCTCATCTAACAATACGTAGACAACACTTCGGCCGAGTACACCCAGATTAGCGACATCACTGCCGTCGACTACCCGACCAGAGACCAGCGATTCGAGGTCATCTACAACCTTCTCAGTGTCCGCCACAACTCGCGCATCCGTGTCAAGACCTACGCCGACGAGGCGTCCCCCGTTCCCAGTGTCACTTCCCTCTTCGATGGAGCCAACTGGTACGAGCGTGAGGTCTACGATCTTTTCGGCGTCTTCTTCGCCGACCACCCCGATCTGCGCAGAATCATGACCGACTACGGTTTCGAGGGTCACCCCCTGCGAAAGGACTTCCCTCTTACTGGCTACACTGAGGTCAGATACGACGAGGAGAAGAAGCGCATCGTTACCGAGCCCCTTGAGCTTACCCAGGCCTTCCGCAACTTTGAGGGCGGCTCAAGTGCCTGGGAGGGAGTTGGACCTGGCACGGACAGACGCCCCGACACCTTCAAGCTGCCTACGCCGAAGCCAGAGGAGAAGAAGGAGGAGCCGAAGAAATAGATCAGAAGATTCTGACGTGTATATAACTGACTCTAGAATCTTCTTTGTTGTACAATCATTCTGCGTCCCATTATTTACTTGAACCTTATGTGGCTGCACTGAAATGCTGGTGAGGAGCGTGGGCCTTGCTGGCTCTGCGCCAGTGACTAGAACGCCTCCCGAAATTGTAACGGTTTTCGAGTCCCATGGTCCTGGAGAAGTCTCAGAAAACGGACTAAAAGCCTTGATTCAACAAGGGACCCAATTTCGAGCATAAGACTGATATTCCAAGGTCGACCAATTTGGACTTGGTACTGACTGTGTCACCCTCTTCGGCCTACGTTACGTTGGCTGTAAACCAGTGCTCAGAACGCGTCTTCGACCGAAATGGCATCGAGTATGTTTTCAGTTTACAGTGAAGCATGATCAGGTGCCTAATTCACGATTTCAAACCCAATCCAGTGAGGGAAGTCCAGAGTGAGCCATGATGTGACTACGTGCGTAAGTAAAGGACATGGCTACTTGTTGTCGAGGAAGTTATAAGGGAAAGTATCATGGCTGGATACCAGCACTTTTAACGGCTTGTTGCCTTGAACCGCGAGGGTACCAGACATGTCCCATGGTAACGGAGAAACCCCCCGAGTGCCACCCAAACTATCAACCCAAACTATCAACCCAACTTCTAAGGCCAACCCAGTGTTGCACCTGACGCTGATTGTATTTCATTTCCTCATCATATATAAGGGCAACTGGTCTGCTACAAAGTCGTCAATGGTCCCTGGTTCCTACGTCCTCGTCACTCATCTCAGACTCAATATCTCTGCTCATCACCTCTCACTGAATACTCCGAAGACATCACGCTCTCCATACCAACTACTTCTCTCCTCAGACTTCACTCCACACTACAGCCAGGATGTTTGTATTTGCCGTTTCCAGGTCCCAGCTCTTGTCTGCGGACATGCTGGAGGAGTTGAGATACAAGGCCAAGATGCAATACCACCAAGCCCATGTCCTCGACCTCGCATCTTGCGACGTTGATCTTGAGGACCATATCAATGGCTACATTGAGGGATACTGCAAGCAGCAGACCTGCGCTACTACATCATCGTCTTCGGTCTCTCTCGCCTCAAACGATACTTCCACGAAGTCCAAGTCTAGGCTGAGGCGTCTTCTTCACCGTATCACTGGGAAGAAGCTCTAGAAGAACAGTCTGCTCTCTCTCAGAGCCACCAAACAAGTCACACGCACACAACGACGGCCTGCTCCTAGTACAGTCAACGGGCCTCACAATCTCTTCAATTCGTTGAAGAGCTGTGAGATGGGTTCTCAAGGACTCACAAAGGGCCAAGGTCATGCCCACGGGATCTTGAACTCTAATACACGACATTAACCCTAAGGAAGGGATTCACATCCTCTTTTCAACAGAAGACCTTCCCGCTCAGGGCATACTATACCATGTCTCGGAGGCTCATGAACAATATCAGACAGAGAAAATACCAATCTCGACGATCGTCACCTCAAAGAAGCCAAGTCGGCCATCTCCTCCGATCATCAACACTCGAGTGCCAAGGCATCGGTGTGTCCGGAGCCAGAGCCTAATAGCTGGAAGAGTCCGGCACTTCTGTCAGCTCCATTGCGTTGTAGACCTCCCTTGATTCGCGGGAAGGAATCTTTCTCACGCCAGGTGGTATTCATCAAGAACATCTCCAAGGAGCAAGTCATGTGTTGGAAACACTTGGAGCACTTCTGCCACAACTGGCACTACCGCTTCCACTACTACTGCTGGTATAGACATCAGCAGGGCATAGCCTTTCGGCCGGCATGAAGCTCGACAATCGTATGATGAACTGCGTATATCTGAGTACTGAGGACAGAAGGAATTGGCGAAGCCCACCGATTCCTCCGAAGTACGAGCAGGTAGATGAGCTGTTTGAATTGCCCCATGCCGCCTTATAATCTCACCTCTTTCCACCAACGTTCAAACAACTACAACCACCACTACTACAACTGCTGTCACCACTACTACAGTGAACAGACCATTAGAACGGCTATCGAGTGGGCTTTTGGGTATAAGAAGATAGTAGTCTTCGCGATCATGCAGCGGTACAACTGCAAGCTTGACCCTGATCAGACCTCAGCGACGATCAAGGCTGCTGTCACGCAGTCCACCCAACCTAAGGCTGGTATTATCAACGCGAATAACCAGCTTGCTTGAGTGGGTTCTGAGAGATACAGGAGGCTTGATAAACCGTAATTGTTCATACTGTAATGAAATGATTTCAAACGATTCAATTGCGTACTTGATTGTGGATCACACAAATTGAAGTTTCATGAGATAGCTTACCTTATCTACTTGCCTTACGTTCAGTATGTGCCTTGCGCATGTTCAGAATTGTAAGTTGAATGAGTTGAGTGAAAGGCCAATAGGAGAGAGGAACAGAGACTATATAATGCAGTTACCCAGCAAAAGGAGGCACTATCTAGCACACACGCATTTCCCCGCCGCCCCGTTACATGCATGTGATGTCACCACGTCCCACACGCCACTACACGCGTAAATCAATCCCACACTCGAGTACGCGACGCGCCCTTTGGACTGAACGAGGTCTAGTCTCCGAGGAATTGCGCTGACACTCTGCCTTTGCGTCTGAGTCAACGTTGCACACCATTGCTGATATCAACGATTTGCGCGCTCTGGAAGCGATCAAGCTCACGCCTTGCGGTGACGGTTTGCACCATTATCCAAAATGTCACCACAAACTCGCTCCAGCGGCCGGACTCCCGCCGCCGCCAACCCATCTCCCGATCGAGTCTATAAGTCTAGCAAGCCGGCAAAGCAGGCAAAGTTTCCGCATCGACGAACCGAAGTTCGAACGTATAGCGCTCGTAAACCAACCGCTCGCATTGCCAACCACCAGCAAAAGACTTTGACCCAGATGTTTGAGACCACGCGCTCGTCGCCCTTGCGCCTTGATCTATCCGACGAAGAGGAGGAGCCCCAGCCTAGGAAGAGAAGGAGAAAGACCATGGGAGACGAACCGACGCCAAGCTCATCCTTTCACACGCAAACGTTGACGCAGATGTCGCGAAGATCATCCGAGAAATCCACGGCAGAAGAGGAAGAGGAGGAGGACGCATGGCAATTCCAGCCCTCGGAGGATGAGGTCGAAAAGGACCAACCGGTGCTGCCCTCCGGCAACGACAAGGAGAACCAAGTGCCTGGCAAGAAGCAGTCGAGCAAACCGCCCAGCAGGACACCCTCCGTCGTTCCGCAGACGCCAACAAATAAACGCGTTATTTATGAGATTCCATCGTCTATAGGCAGCCCGCTTACCCCGATGCTGGCTAGGTACAGCCCGGCGCCAAAAAGGTCTCCCTTGAAAGACAAGTCCACAAACACAATGTCACCGATCCCGAAGCCCACAGCATCCGTCAAACGGCCACGAACTCTGACAGTCCAGGATTCT